GCTTCATCCTTCTTCTCTTCATCATCATCATTATTGGTACCCGCTGAGTCAACAAAAGGCTTTGTGTTACTTACCAAAAGGAAGCCATAGCTTTACCATCTGAAGCCGTTTCTCTGTCGGCAATGTCACAGTTCCATAACCAATCGCCTTTTGCAGTAGCCTCAATGACCTTAACTCTTATTTCAACCGTCTCTGCAACTGTAGTTTCCAATTGCTCAACTACCTTAACTAACTTCTCAGATGTATCAACCCAAGGAAATAACCACTTCCATCTTTGTTAGTATCCGAAAAGCCCACGAAAAATCCGATACAACCATTCTAAAAGACACGTTTTTACTCACATTCTAAAATATACGTACACATGGCTACATAGAGCAAAAGCCGGTGAATTTGATGTATTTCAGAACCTGAATAGAGAGAATCACCATGAAAAGAGAGCAAGAACCCGAATTGCCGGTGAGAGGGTCTTGTCTGAGCTGGAATACGTGCTGGCTCGATTGAGAGCTCATGGTTCGATCAGCGACGGACCTTAGGTTAGTCGTCACTGGCCCAAGTGACTAGTGTGCGTGACTCATGAGTGGAAAATTTGGCCGTGTTTTTATTTTATTTTTATTTAGGTCCTGTAATTTTCTATTCCTAGCAAATGAACACCAAAACTCTTAAAATCTATTACAAGTACAAATTGCGTTGAAGAAAATTTTATACTAAATCGAAAACTTACATGAACCGAGGGGTAACTCGAGAAACTTACATGTAACTTATAAAAACCTCTTCGTCTTCTCCACAAACAAAGAAACAAAAAAGAAGATTTTTCAATTCTCTAGAACATGAGTCAAACTTGTTTGTTCTCTCAATCTTGACTACGCTTGTATTTGAGATTTGTGGCTAATGAGGATGCTCTCATAGTCATATGAAACAATTAAGTTGCACTTCATACTATTACTTCAGTGTTGTTTCCTTGTTTGCTTGATCATGGAACATTTTTGCTTTCAAAGCAAAAGCAAAAATCTAAACTGAAGAACAGAGATTCCTTATGTAAACGGGTCGTCGAATCGAATCTCTGTTTACTCTAACGGTCTAGAGAAGACCATGGATTCAGGGCTAAGAGGGTACAGATCGTAAGCAGATTCACATGACGAAGGAATCGACACGAGATAATCAGAAGTTAAAGACGATGTTCCCATCTCCGACGATCGCTTAAACCTCAATTCATCTCCGTACACTCCAGGATCGTTAACAATCTGTTCAATCTCTTTCTCCCCTTCAAGCATCTTCACAACTTCCGACATGGTTGGTCTTAATGTCGGAGACTTGTTAGAGCATAAAAGTGAAACCTTTATCATTCTCTCTGCTTCCATAGCATTGAACACTCCTTCCAGCTTCGGATCTAGAATCTCTGCAAAATCTCCTTTCTTTTGTAGCACAAACGCCTGAAATTGAAAAAATATCAAAAACCCTTTTTAAGTAAAGTACCCAATTGAGAGAAAGCTGAGTTCTTGTGGGTTGGTTCAGTACCCAATCGAGAAGGCCAACGCAACATTCGTTGTCCGGCGTGTAGTTTGCGTTGCTCTTTCCGCTAACGATCTCCATTGCTACTACACCGAAGCTGTATACATCTGCCTTTTCTGTTAGGTGACCTCTCATTGCATATTCAGGAGCCATATATCCTCTGCAACAGAACTAACTGTCATTAAAAAATTGTCATATGTTGGATTCATGTTCATGTGTATGACTGATTAGAAGACTCACATTGTCCCTGCAACTCTAGTGGTAATGTGACTCTTCTCGTCTTCATGGAGCCTAGCTAACCCGAAATCCGAGATCTTTGAGTTTAGATCCTTTTCAAGCAATATATTTGTCCCTTTGATGTCTCGGTGAATGATCTTAACCGTAGATTCTTCGTGGAGAAACGTAAGCCCTCTCGCGATTCCTAAGCATATTTTGTGTCTTGTTCCCCATTCTAGTTTGAGGCAGCTTTTCCCTGCACGAAAACATTCGATCTCAATACAGAAAAAGAATGCTGTAAAAGGATTTGATAAGAAGAAACAAAACTTCACCAAATAATGCATTAGCAAGACAATTGTTCTCCAAGTATTCATAAACAAGAAGAAGCTGGTTTTTGTCAACACAGCATCCGTAAAGCTTCACAAGGTTCGGGTGCTGCAGGCAAGCGATTATACCGATCTCGTTTACAAACTCTTTGTTGCCTTGACATGATTTTGCAGATAGCTTCTTTACCGCAATCAATGTACCATCCGGTAATCTCCCCTGCATTGATCATATTTTTTGGCTTTAAGTCGCCTGTGAATATTAACATATCTACTACCGTTTGGAGTCATTTTTTGTACCTTGTATACAGATCCGAAACCGCCTTCTCCAATCTTGTTTAAAGGATCAAAATCGTCAGTTGCAACTTTTAGTTGCCTCAAACTGAAGGAACCTGTTATTAGATCAGCTCCTTTGAGCTATTTATTTACCGAAAACACCGATATTAAAACCTTAACTGATGTTACCTCTTTTTCCTGCGTGTGCATCCCTGATACATTTCTTCCAATAGAGTGCGCCCAAAATCAAGAAAGCAAGAGAGAGTACCATGGATGTTAAACCGAGAATGAGAGGATATTTTCGTCGTCTATGTTCTTTTGTGACTGGAAGAATCTCCACTGGAACTGAGAGAAATTTTGATACATTGTCATACATAAAAGATAGCTGCAAAAGGGGATTCAAAGTGTTAGACATTTGTTCTTCTTACCACCACATTCAGATTCAGAACCTGAGAAAACAAAAGCAAGAAAAGAATTAAGATATTGTAAGGATGCTACTTTTTTTTTTAATGAAGAGCTTTTACTTACTGGGACAGACTGAGATTGCAGAGATAAGAGAGCCATAGTTCCCTCTTCGAGGAATAATCGTCGTGCCTTTCCCTGCCCAATAAAGCCTTATCTCTAAAGTATTATCGTTCACGGTCGTGTTCACTTCTCTTATAACTTCCTTGTGAGTTCCATTAGCCTCATCTCTAATGCTGAAGTCCTCCCAAATCAACTTCCCCTGAACAGAACAACAAAGTTTAGACTTCAAGAATTGGCTAAAAACTCTGAGAGAAGACTCTTACCTGAACGTAAATGTTAAAAGCCCGTTTCGCTAGTCTAGCGTATGGTTCCTCATCTGAGAACTGAATCTCGGCGAAATGGAGTTTCACATTGTAGCTTCCATTTTCAATACAAAAGGCAAAGTAAGCCAAACTCAATGGAGAACGTCGAGCTGTTTGATAAAGCTCAGGATATTTTGCTGATACTGTAGATTCTGATGAAACTGAGTATGTATCTTCTGTTATTGCATCATCCATAAAGTCACCAGTATTGCTAAATCCCCAGTTTTTCCCATGATAGTTCGTAGCTGAACCGGTAAGTCCATAGTTATCACCCTCATATAGAAACTTCCCTCGGGAGTTTTCGATAATTACATCAGGTCCCCCACAGTTTATATGAACCCACCTACTATCTGCAGAAAATGATCATATTCATAAACTTAAAATGGAAGCAAAAGATAGACAACAAAAGAAAACTTACAATTTTGACAACTGTTTATGGCAGAACATGGAAGAATTCTGGTTCTGTATCAAAGAACAATGAGTTAATAACAGTATCCACAGTGATCTGTGATTCATAAGATTGACAAAATGTTCTTACAGACTGTTTCTTGAACGTGAGCTCTCATATGTGTTAACATTCCTGCATCAGAAAATACATTTTATAAACTTTTCGAAAGTTTTTCACGACAAATGGTAGTATTTAGGATAAGAACATACTTCCTCTCTTTGCAGCTTGGAGACCATGTAAAGTTATTATAGGAAAGATCACTGCATATATATTGCAAACGTAAAACAATCCAGAGATTAGCGTCATATCGAAAAAGTACTATTGGCATATAGAGGGTGATATTGGCTATATACATATTGGTGCTTGCAGTAAGGAAAGGTCCTGATTCAACTTTTCCAGACAACATGTTTCCAGCCAAATATCTGAAAKAAAAAAAAATATGAGTTCAAATATTTTTACTTCATACTCTTATGTTCCAAAAACAATGCCATGTACGTATATTTTGGCGCGCTCGCATCTGCTGGTATTTCTCCAGTCAGTCTATTAAAAGAAAGATCTCTGTCCGGACAAAAAGAAAAAGTGTCATATTCAAAAGATTGGAACTTAAAATGCAGTGTGATAGAAACTTACAGAGTCATGAGATTGGGAAGATCCCAGAGACTAGTTGGGATTGGTCCTGTTAAGTTCATGTTTCTTAGAACCCTGAAAATTTTTTTAGCAAAAATCAATCTTGAATCTCACAACATGGGATCTTTTTCTGGACCAGAGACATGAATATATAGATGAGACACATTGCATACAAGAATTTCAGATTCTTGCTAGTAATAAGAGGAATTTGTCCCAGTCCTCCTGTAGTTGTGTCACTGATCCTCCTGCATATAAAATAATGGCTACAGTTTAGAATCAACTTGTGAAATTTACAATATTCTTCCTTGGATGTATTGAGAGATGATTACTTACAGGTCGATCAAATTCTCTAGACGAAAAATGGATTCCGGAATAGGTTCGGTTAGGCCACTCGCGTATAGTTCTCTGATGAAATATAGGAAACAAGTCAGAAAAAGAGTGAAAGTAATTGTATTGCTTCAAGCTAGTAAAGCTGTATAATGCATAATTTCTTGGCTTACAATCTTTGAAGTTTTGATAAGTTCCCTATAAACTCTGGGATGGATCCGTTAAGGCGATTATCGCTGAAACGGCTGCAAACATGAAATGAAAAAGCATTATACATAATACTAGAGCATATTTCTCAACTTAAATCTTGTAAAGAAAAGAAAGTTTGTATCATACAGATTAGTCAGATTTGTTAGTCTTGCTAATGTCTTGGGTACGCCTCCAACTAATTGGTTAGAAGAAAGTGCTCTGGGAGAGCAAAGCAAAGAAAAAGATTAGTTTTAACATGTTTGACAGAATCAAAAGATCTATAATCTTGAAAAAAAAAAGATTATTGCTTACAATCCTTCTAGATTGACCAGGTTCCCGAGTTCCTTAGGGAGAGTTCCAGAGAATTGATTGGCTTCAAGACCTCTGAAATCACACAAACAAACAATAAACTTAGTTTCCAAAAAGGAAACAAAACTTTATAATATCACCAAAGAAAATGGTAAAAGAAAACATACAAGAGAGTGAGGTTAATAAATCTCCCCAATCCTTTAGGAATGTCTCCAGATAAGCGATTCGCGCAAACAGAGCTACATAGAAAACATTTTAAGGTAAATTCAGAAGCATTTTCTTACTTCCTTAACAAAACAAAAAAAAAAAGGAAACTTGAGACCAAAGACTTACATAGATTTGAGGTAAGGCAGTGAAACCCATTCCATAGGAATTGAGCCATAAAGGTAATTACGGCACAAGTCACTGCACAAACAAGGACAAATGTTTAGATTTTTACAATAACATTCAAAACATAGGAAATTCAAACATAACGAATCCTCCTCACATCGATTCAAGATATCGAAGTTTGGAAAGTTCTGGTGGCAATCTACCCGGGAGACTGAATGTCTTAAGGATACTACACATGAAGCAACACTAGTTACATGGAACCGAAAACCGTAACAATTTACCGGGAAATAAACAGAAAAATAACGGCTAGTTTCTTACAAGTGTGTGATATGACAAGTGTTATTGTTGTTGAAATGACAATCACATTTGATTGTGCTGTTTTGCCCTTCCTTGAGAACATCTTGAGTTATCACTAGAGTCTTTGATAGACATGGATCTTCACTTAGGTTCAAGTACTTCACACCGAGTGTCGCTGCGATATCCTTAAGTGCTTCCACTGGCAAAGACAAACAAATCAGAAACAAAATTCAAGTTTTAGTTAGGTAAGCCATTTTGTTTGTTAATAATATGATGGATTAAAAAACCACTAAACCTTCATTTGGATGAAGAGTAGGAGAAGCAGATACAGTACAGACCAAGTAGATAAGAGGAAGAACAAAGAGTAGAGAGCTAAAAAGGCGGCTCGACATGATCATGAGCAGAATATGTTCAAGTGATCTATATAATGACTTGAAAACACTACATACATATATAGTACTAAAACAACTACTTTAATTTGATTATATGTATATAGTTAGATATGTATGTATAGAAAATTGTGAAAAAAAATGTGAAGTGTCTTGTGAAATGCAGTTTGACTAAGCTGAGATCAAGGGACACATGGATTTGCTGCTTGTTAAAGCTGGAGAGAGGACTCACTTTTGTTAATTGCAATGTAGACTCTCTATTTTTATTTATTTACAGTATGAGCAGAACTATTAGAATGAGCTTTATTCACCCTTTCGTTTGCATTTTAGTATTCTACTTTTAGAAATACTAGAAAAACATACTTTAAATAAATGAGATTTCATGATCCTTAAAGCATAGTTCTCACCACTTTCAGACAAACCTTGCATAAACAAATCTAATTTTACATCTTGAGTCCCAATTTGAATATTGCGGCTAGTTTTGACAACAAATGAAAAATAGAGGAGATGATTAGTTGTCTATCAATAATTTTAATAGAATGTTTCATGAAATTTCTTACGTTGAACACTTCAACTTTTTTTTTTTGTTCAAACATTTTTTTTTGTTCAACAACGTTGAAAGTTTGATGTTGAACGTTGAACACTTTTTTTGTTCAATATTGTCATCATTTTCAGAAAAACCTTGCATAAATAACTACAATTTTAGATCTTGAGTCCCAATTTTTAATAATGTGGCATCTTTTGTCAACAAATGAGAAATAGAGGAGTTGATTAGTTGTCTAACAAAAAAATTGTTATAATGTTACATGTAATTTCTTTTGTTGAACACTTGAACTAGTTGGTTATTTTGTTCATTAATTAATCAACTTTCTTGATAGTTGACTTGTACTATCTCTTGGATCCAAGAACTAGTTGGTATTAAAATTAGTTTACTCCATTTTAATTTTATTGATTCTCTCACAAGAGTTTCATTCATATAATTTTATGCAATTGGTACTATAGTGGACTTAAGTCAATTTGGTCCTTTTCTTGGTAAGTCAACTCGTCCTTGTCAGTATAATCCAGCCTATCATATAATTAAGTCAATCTGGTTTTAATTATAGTAGAATAAAAACCCCCAAACAAAAAAAAAAAATAATGTCGAAATTAGAGGCTTCAAAAGTAGCATGACTTGGGAAAAAAGGTCACTAATTTCATATCTTTTGAGTTTCAACAACACTCAATACCCAACTAATCAAAGCTTTACTACAATTGACTAATCGTGTAATAAACACAAAACACATTTTACAAAATTAACAGTCAGATGATTTAACAAAGATAGAGAGAGACGTATTAAGGAATTGGAAATCATTCAAGGCCTTGGCTCTTGTTGCTTTCTTTCTTGAACTCCTTGTCCAACTACATTAGTAGAAGTTGAAGTAGTAACCGAACGATAACTATTAACAGAACACTGCGTCTTACTGTTGTTCTCCGAGCCTTTCCTTAAATCTTTAAACGCCTGAAACCTTACATCCCCTGATTTCCTGCTTGATCCCGGGATTGATTCTGGCACCGGATAGAGACCTTCCAGCATTGCAACAACCTCTGACATTATAGGACGATCATTTGGAGAAGAGCTCGTGCACACGAGAGCCACTTTAATAACCGCCTCTGCTTCTTTTCTGTTCACTTCAGGCCTCAATCTCTCATCCACCACTTGCATCCAGTGCCCTGATTCTTGGCACTCACTAGCCTGTAGACACAGCAAAATGGTTTATCCACAAAACCGCTTTTAGGTTTTTTAAAAACTTGGGATTGGAGCATATTTACCCATTCCAAGAGGCAGACAGAATCATTTGCCGCCATGAAACTACTATTGTTTATGCCAGCGACGATCTCTAAAACCAAAACACCGAAGCTATAGACATCTGCTTTGAAGGTGAGGTAACCCCACAATGCATATTCCGGTGCCATATATCCTCTAAAGAGGTTCACATGTTTGTTATGGTTAAAAAAAAAAGACTGTAATTATAAAGAAAACAAGATTAAGGGGAAGCGGGCAGGCTCAGGCTCACATTGTCCCAGCGACTTTGGTGCTGATGTGTGTATTCTCCTCTTCATCGAGCCTAGCCAATCCGAAATCGGATATCTTGGGAGTTAAATCCTTGTCCAATAATATATTTGTGGCCTTGATGTCTCTGTGTACAAACTTCAACGGTGATTCCTCATGTAGAAACGCAAGACCCTTGGCAATCCCGCTACAAATCCTAAACCTAGTAGGCCAGTCCAGTGAGATCTGTTTATCCTTTGGACCTAAAACATTGCAAAGCATACACATTTTATTTGAAGCATCAAAAAGCTTGCATTAGGCATATATATAGATGGAAATAAAATTAATAAACTCACTGAATAACGCTTGAGCTAAACTGTTATTTTCCATGTATTCATACACCAGCAATAGCTGAGCCCGTTCGACGCAGAAGCCATGAAGCTTGACAAGATTTGGATGTTGAAGACAAGAAATTGCGCCTATCTCGTTTAGAAATTCTCGGTTCCCTTGTCTCGATTTAGATGAGAGCTGCTTAACTGCTACAACTCTTCCATCTGCTAACGTACCCTGCAAAATGAGATGTTAAATCAGCATCAGTAACACTACAACTTTCATTTCTTCATATATATCAAGAATCATCTCATCCTGTAATCTTTACCTTAAATACAGGACCAAAACCACCTTCTCCAATCTTGTAAGTCGGATTGAAATCATCCGTAGCAAATTTGATCTGCCTTAATGTAAAAGTTCCAGATGGTAACTCTTCTTCATAGGGATCTGTAGGAAAAACTCGTAATCAATAAACAACAACAAAAAAAGCACTCCATATCAAAAGCGGAAAAAAATAATGTAAGAAAGCAATGATCACCTTTTCGTCGCTGACAAAAACTTGGAAGGAAACCACAAAACCACAGAAATCCCAGTATAAAGATAATAAGACATGGGATTCCAACTCCAAGTGCAATATACGCTCCCACGCTCAATCCAGTACTCGGGGGTGAGCACGACTTAGAATCTGTACATTGAAGGTATTTAGTATTAAGATAAACTATTATGGTTAGAAAAGAGTACAAAATGCACTCAAAATCAGATGCACACATCCAACTCGTTTCAGCTATATATAAAAAAAAGCTACCTGAAAGTACGGAAATAGCCGATATGAGAGGACCATAAACCCCTCTACTGGGAATCCTAGTAGTTCCTTTACCAGCCCAACGCAACCGGATGGCTAAAAAGTGGTTTGTCACATTGACAGTAAATGATTTGGTTATAGGTTTTTGAGCTCCCTGTGCCTCATCCATGATATTGAAGTCCTTAACCACTAATTTCTCCTGTCGAAAAGAGGGCTTAAGACCAAAACAAAAACAAAAACTTAATGCATTCAAAGCCGCTTTAATTTCACCAGCGGAGACAAATACTGACCTGAATGTAAATGTCAAACACACGCCTCCCAAGCCGGCTATAGGTATCATCATTGGTGAACCGCAACTCAGCGAAGTCTAGATTTACCGTGTATTTTCCATTGTCCAAGCACGCATGGAAGTAAGTGAGCGATACTGGAGCTATTCGTGCTGTTCTGTATAGCTCAGACAGGTTAGATGACGGGAGAAATATGGTGAATCTTGTGTTTTGGAAATTGTTGTCGTCCATGTAGTCCCCTGTGCTGCTGAATCCCCAATAATGATTAGGCTTTAAAAAATACTTAGCAGCACCACCTTCAGCCTCTCCATCTCCTTCATATACGATTGTGCTTTTTTTTTCTTTTACAGGTAGATTGCTTCCACCACAGTTCACATGGAGGCAGCTATAATCTGCCACACAAACCAAATTGCATAAATGAGAGAGAGTAAACAAGTGAACTTTCTACATCAACAACTATAAAATATAACGATAACAAGACGGGAAATAACAATTTCGACGTGGGCCTTAACCATTTCGACACGGGAAATAACTTAGCAGGCGATTTCAGATGTACTTACATCGAGGACATTTGAAATCATTGATGCACGGCAGAAATTTACTCCTGCAAAGACATCAATTGGGAACTTAATCTTTATGAATTGTGGAGACAGTGTCTTTTGGAAAGAACAAACATTTCAGCGGAATATTAACGATACAAAACACGGAATCTAGATGTTAAAGATGATCAAAAGAAAGGACCTTACGATTTTTTTGTCGAAGTGCTCTGAAACAAGTTTAGATTCAGATTCCTAAAACAAGAAAATCCGGATAAGTTATCAGTTAAAATGGCAATTATGTCCACCAAAAAACGTCAACGAAGAAAACATGAAAATGTCCTCACATGTTTGGCCGACAAGCACGACTTTCAGGACTTTGCCACTTGAGGTTATTATATGAAAGATCTCTGCAGCAACAAACGAATTGACATCAAAATGGAGATGTACTAATGCGACACAAAACTTGGATTCACATTCTTCTGAGAAAGCAATGTTAAAGGCAATTTGTAAACTCCAGAAATGTACATACACAGTGATTCCATCCCTTAGTAAATCATCTGGAACATCTCCCACGAGCATATTTCCAGCCAAAATGCTGCAAAAATCAACTAATAATTCTAAGTCAAAGTAAAATAGAACATTAAACATATATGACAGTAAAATCTTTTCACTTACATAAACCGTAAATGTTCTGCCAGCGCAAATGACGGAACTCCCCCAACCAACTTGTTAAAACTCAAATCCCTATTCACAAACGTAACAAGAATTAATCAATTCTGTCATTGTTTCATGTAAAAACCTACTCTTCATTTGCTTTAAGTTCATATTCTTCGGTGGTATATCAACTAATAATGCGAAACAGAGTTTGCAGGGAACCACTTACAGTGTCTCCAGATCCTTCATAGTTGCAATATAGGGAGGAATTTTTCCAGAAAGCTTACAGTTCTTCAATATCCTACAATGTAAAATAAACAAAAAATTAAATAAAATAAGAGATGGATGGAACAGCTTCAAGAAGGCATATAACAGATCTAACTTACAGTTTAGAAAAACCGGTCGCGTTCCTCAACGAAGGGAATGGTTGGACAGGTCCACCTATATCACTGATCCTCCTGAAAACAATAGGTCATTTTAATAAAAGTGTCATCTGCTTTACTATAGAGAGAGAAAAAAAATGACATCATAAGAGTTGTGTCTACTCACAGATTAACAAGATTATTCAGAACTGAGATGACCGATGGGATTGGACCATTGAGACCGGATGCAATCATTTCACTACAAGCAGAAAAAAGAATACAATTACGAAGTGCGAAAAAAATAATAATCAAAGAACAGTTAAAGAAGAAGGATTTTACAGTCTCTTGAGTTCCTTCCAATTTCCTATGTAGCTAGGTATCGTTCCAGTGAGGTGGAGATCGTTAATCCTGCTGCATTATGCAAAACCAAGCAGCAGATGAACAAAGGAGACCAAGATAATAAGTTGTTAAGTTAGGAGAAAACAGAAGAAAAGTTTACAAATCTGTCATGTTCTGAAGTCTAGATAATGAAGCTGGCAAAGTTCCCGTCAAATTGTTGGAGGAAAGCAACCTGTAAGACATGACCCACCAGAAAGACCTCATCCTTCAGAAACACGGCACGGGCGAAACCATTGTCACAATAAAAGAAACAAAGAAACGGAAAGAGAATCACAAACTCTCACAGTGTTTTCAAGTTGAACAAGTTCCCAAGCTCTTGAGGAATAGTTCCAGTAAACGCATTTGACTCGAGATCCCTACACAAGAGCAGCAAAAATAATATGACACCACTCCCATAGAGAATGCTAAAGTTTCTTCAGACGAAAGTGCACCGAAGTATTGAAAGTGTTTGGGTAAGCATACTACATGATGGGTTCCTGTTCAGGAAAGGCTCATACTTCCCATCAACTAAACTTAAAGGATAGTTAGTACCTGAACTTTCTGTTTAAATAAACACCAACCCGATTTCCCGAACAAAGAAGAATGACAGATGTTTGAAACTTACAAGTATGTTAGTGAGGTAACGTTTGCCAACCATTTCGGAAATTCCCCTGATAACCGATTCACAAGAAGAGAGCTGCAGAGACATTCTGTTACTGTAAAAGAGCGTTTAGACAGTAAAGCTAGAACAGAAAAGGGAATATTCTTACATAAAAGTTATATTTGTCATAGCCCATTCAAGTGGTATGCTCCCACTGATGTAGTTGTAGGCGAAGTCTCTAAAACAAAGCATGAGATTGTGGTCAAAATCGATAAAATTTGCCTATTTAGTCTAATAAGCAATGTTGAGATGCTTTTACGAGAGCACTTACATCTCTTGGAGGTAGGGAAGCCTAGTTATATGAGGAGGAAGAGTTCCTGGAAGATTATGATCCTTGAAGGCACTAAGAACAATTCATAGAGACATTCAACGATATATAACCGAAAAAAAGAAAGAAAGTTGTGAAGAGTGCAAAAGTAAACTCTTTACATTTTCACAACATGACAATCATTCTCGTTAGTGGGACTGCATTCACATCCAATTTCTTGCTCAGATGTCGGAGGAAGAGTTTCTGTTAACCCCACCAACTCGACCTTACAATTGTCAGCATCAAATTTCCAGAATTTTGATCCCAATGTGGTAGCGATTTCTTGCAGAGCATCGACTAAGGAGCAAGGCACAAAAAAGCAAACAACATAATAATACATCAGTGCAATTACTTAAACAAAAAACATATATTTATACACTTGGCCTTAACAATTAGTGAGAACAATCACAAAAATCGAAAGCAAGATATACAAACTATCTACATCTCATTTCATCCAAACACAAAAATATATAAATCATTGCTTCACCGATTTACAGAATTTTTAAAGAAACTGACTGACTTTTAATTTAATACTCAGAGATCTGACAAAAGTCCAAAGGACACTCAATTTAATAAACCAAAATTGACATAATCAAACCAATCAAAGCCTGCAGATTTTGGATTCAAAAACTTCAATTTTTTCTTTTAAAGAAAACCCTAGAAACCAAACGTCATCGGAAATTTTCCAGTTTACCAATCAGAAAATCTCTTTTCCACCAAAATAATTAAAATCTATAAACTTTATCATAAAAGAGAAATAAAGGCGCAAACTTTGCAAGAAAAACTGTAAACCCAGAATCCAAAAAAGAATGAGAAACGATTAAAAACATTAAAAACTCAAAAAAATAAAAAAAAGAAACCAGAAAGGAACTAACTTGAAGAAACCCACCTTCGTCTTTGGGTAATTTGATAGCATTTACACTGTAAAATTCGAAGCAAATGATCGCAAAAACAGAGAATGCAAAGAATTTAACATCTTTCTTCTTCTTCTCGTGAAACATTTCAAAACAGAGATCCGAAAAAACAGAAAAAAAATCTCTGGGGAAAAAGGAAGACGGAGAGAGAGACGTAAATCAGTGTCTCATCGAGAATAATGAATCCGGTAGAAAGATTTGGAATTTCTGGGTTGGTGTTTGGCAAGTGTGATGATGATTAGTGAATTGTTAGTTGAATTATGACAAATCACATCGAAATCTAAGAACAGTGTTTTTCCTCCATTCGTATATCTGCTTTTTTTTTTTTATAACTTCTAGTCAAAAATGACAAAAAAGACTTTTTTACAGCCCGTATATTATGACGAGTCAATTTTGAAATTACAGAGACGAATAAAAGCAAAAAAAGAATGGTACAATTCCACCCCAAAAAAAACAAGAATTTGATCCAAAAGAAAAGGACCCACTAACCCTACAAAAGTTGGAAATCACTCACTGAGAGAGGATATAAATATCAAAAATAGTAATAGTTTTATATTGGGTGTTTAGCTCAAATCCCATGA